TCCTGAAGGGACGATCTCCTTGTCGTGAGTGTATCTCCATCCTGCCTGTCCTCTGTCCTTCCCCTGCTTGGGCAGGGTGGTGGCACAGCCCTGGCCAAACTGCTGCATCCTCCATAGTGGGAAAGGGTGAGACAAAATCTCTGTGGAAGGGAGAGGGAGAGTGGGAGAAGGAGGAGGATTTAAAGGCTGGGATCTCAACACTAGGCCACAATGCCCAGTTGGAATGAAGGCAGTCAGTGCACACACACAGTCAGGCATCGATGCTCTCCATGATGGTCACTTTGAATCTGGAAGAGCAGCAGGTCAGGACCAGTACCCCTCTCTGGGCCCCCAAACTGCCCCATCTCACGCACCCTATAGGCAGGTAGGGACAAGGGACCAGCGTTACAGTGGGTGCCCCATTGCTGCCGAGGGTCTGCAACCATGCAGCCCGTGGGTAAGTATCTCCTATTTTCCATCTTTGGTAGGGAATGGAAATGAGGATGTTATTCTTTGCTGAAACATTTTGGAAAGTCACAGCTGAAATCTCTCACTTGTCTCTTCCATCTGTTTATTTTTACCACTTAATAACACGTCTGTCTCTTCAACTATTCCTGACACCGTTGCAAGAAAATCCAACTCTGTGAAGACAGTTTTATCAAAGAGACATTGGCTCTTCATTACTGTGTGACACCACGTCAGCTCTTCTCCTGTGCATGAAGTCTGCTCTGTAATTTCAAAGGGTGTCTTCTATCTCTTTGAGGAGGTGATATGACCAATATATTTGAAATTGTTGCTTGTTATGCAAAAGGTTATCCAAACTGTGAAGATAAGAAGCAACTTCAAGCGCTTCAAGGATTCTCATTTGTTTGGTGATGTTTTTCTCTTCACTGCCACATGATGTCACAGACCTAATTTCAAGTGATTAGTAACAATGGCAAAACAGTCATTGAAATAATCTGTGATAGAGAACTCTGGGACAACATGAAGAGGCTGTGCTATCAATAATTTCTCACCATTAATAATACAAAGTCCTGGTCTGCAGACACCAGACCTGCTCCTGCCTCTGCTTTCCAGAGGTGCCCCAGCTCTCTGCAGAGGGGCAGTGTGTCTGAGTGCAGGTCAGTGCTGTTCAGCTCCTTTTAAATTTGAATAATCTTGGGTTTATTGACTTGGCAGTGGATCACTCCACTCACCTCTTTTGTTTAAAATTATGCTTCTGGTTTCATTTGTGAACCAGCCACCTGAAGGGGAGGCCTGGAAGATGGAGTCTGAACCACCTGACATTTTCAAATGAACCACCTTTCCCTTATTTTCTAGCCCTAAGTTTTTGGTTTCATAAATTTTGGAACCAGCCAAGGTGAGCCAATGTCCTTATTTGCTTTTTGGACAGGGAGTAGGGATATTTCACTGAAACGGAGTCTTGGAACTCGCAGTTTGCTGTTCAGAATCAGTGAGAACACGTACACTCTTCTGAGCATATTCTGGTAGCAGAATCCCAGCAGCGTTTGTTGGGAGGGACCCAGTCCAACCTCCTGTTGGAAGCAGGACGGTTGCCAGCATTAGGAGAGAGGAGAGCACAGCCGTGGGTGTCTCCATGTGCAAAGTATGATGGATAAAGGCTGTCTGTGACAGCAGCACCTGGATTTAATGATTCCAGACCTCCTCACTAGTCCTGAGCCTGGTATCTCCTTGTATCTTGTGCACGGTCCTGTTGTGCTCACAGGAGGTTGACTGCCAGTACTTGGTGTTCCAGAAGTGATCCTCAGCTAATGAAAGCAATCCTCAGCATTTCAGAAAAAAGGCAATTCCTGTATCAAGTCAGTGCAAGAGATCATTCCGTTCACTCTTTGTCCACATGAAAGGCAGTGTAACTGCCAGAGACCATGATAACCTGCCCTTTGGGAAGCTCCTTTCTTCCCTGTGAAGGAATGGCCACCCAATACCTCCAGGACCTCTCCTGCCTGTATAAGAAGCTAATTCCAAAAACTAGGGAAAGAGGACCAAAACTGCATTGTTGAATCTCAGAGTTTTCCTCTCTGTCCCTCTGTATGTTCTATTCCACTGCAGGTGTATCCCATCGACAGCACCACAAGCTCTGCCCTGAAATGTGGAGTAGGAAATGACCTGGCAGATTCTGAAGATCACGGAAAATCTCTAAGTGGAAAATAAGGAGAACCTAGCAGTTTCTGAAGAGTAAATTAAAATTCACTCACGTGAGGGAGAAGGATTTCTTCCAAAAAGATGATAAGAGTTAAGTGAGCTTGTAAGTAAAATGGCTCAACATTGCCCCATATTGATTTTTTTCTCCCAGAAATGACTCCTTCAACGAAGGACTTGCCTTTATGCTTCTCTCTCTCTTTGGCTGAGACTGAAGAGTGGCTGATCTGGGACAAATCTACCTTTTCCTTGCTTTGGTCACAAAAAACCCAACTGAGAACAAACCTTCAGGAACCTGCTGCCAACAGAAGGGTGCCAGGCTTGGGTGCACCTGCCAGGGCACATGTAACACACCTCCTGACTGTGGCTAGGCTTGTGATTTTCCAGTAACACACTGAAATGGCATTTCCCAGATTCCCTGATCTCCCCTGCCTTGTTTTCTCAATCCTTTTGGGTGCACTTGCCTTGTTTTGTCAGGAACTGCCAAACCTCAGCAAATGAACCGAGAACTGCCTCCCAAATGAATTCTGTAGCAGAAGGAGAGTGTATCAGGCTGTTGTCCAAGGTCCTTTCCTTCAACACATCTGCACTAGCAGAGAGGAAAAGAAGGGCATCTATCTAAAAATAAAATTATCAAACATTTAGCTGTTGCTATTTTCATCACATATTGTTTTAAAGCTTCGGTTCACTTGGTGCCTCTTAAAGAAAACACAGACTTGGGTGAAGGGAAGCACCTGTATTACCTACAGAAATGCTCCTGAGTGCTGAGCTGTTTGCAGCCTCTGGGCACAGACTGGCCCAGAAACGAGGGAAGTGGAGGGTGATGGCTGTGGAAGGTAAGGAGGCAGAGAGGGAATGTAAATTGGAGCTGATTTCTTGGTCCCACTTTACCTGCTGTTGCCTGGGTGCTCCTTCCTTCCCACCCTTCCAGCCAGCACAGGGAGTTGTGGAGCCCAAGGCTGTAGATCAGGAAGGACGTGGTCAAGAGACACACAGTGATCCTGGAATGACTTGTCTGTCCTGGATGCTGGCAGATGGAAATACAGATTCACAAGAAAATTTACAGGCACTCAACAGTTTAACCATCATGAGGGAGTTTGGATTTCATGTGTGAGCGGGGGATGAAGGCAGACACAGCTTCACCCCCTCCCCTACAATGACTCCAGCTGTCATGGCCAGAGGCTCAGGACACAATCAAACTCCACCTTTTCAGTTCAGCTGATGTTCCCAGACATAACACACCATCATCTGAGGGGCATGGGAATGTGGCAGTTCCCCTGGGCTTGGCTGCAGGGTCTCATTGAAGGAACAGGAGAGCTGGGGACAGGGACAAGTGCTGTGGTTGACACCAGGACAGGAGGACCTCTAAGGCTGATCCAGCCACTCAAGAGCCACACTTACGAAGGCAATGGATAAATCACAGTGAATCCCGACTTTTTACATCTACACACTTCACTTGACATCATTTCATCCTATCTACTAATTTGATCCACCTTCTAAATCCAAATATCAATACTTTCAGTTACCTAAAAAAAGAAACAATGCTCACACATAGGAGCCCAGAAGCTAGAATTGAAAGCATAAAACCCCAGTAGGTCAACACAGAGTCACACCCTGGCAATTAGAGGGAAAATAAACACAGTTAACTCAGAACCATGTGAAGCTTTGTGCATTCAAAAACACCAATAGTGTTTTATTCAGAAAAAAGAAAGACTGGCTTTGAATGAGATTAACATTCACATGAGGTGACATTTGCCATGATAATATGACCCAGAAACAAGTCTTGCCCCAACAGTACAGGAGGGTGTGTATAATCCTCACAGAGGCAACAAGACCCCCCAGCTCCTCCCAAATTCCTGCAGAGCCATTCTGATGACCTGTCCTCAGTGGCTGCTGGTGTTCAGTTGATCTTTGGTTCTCCCTGCAACTAGTTCATTATTTTCTGGTTTAGCTTCTCTATCAGTCCATCTTATTTAAACTACATCCTTTTTATTTTTTTGAGCTTTACATTTTTGCCTTGGAGACTTTCTAGTCTGCAGCCAGATGGGGCCCCTCTTCTTTCCCTTGGCTCTACTCACTGTGAGGAGAATAAAAGCCTCCTCTGTTCTCTTTGGACAGGTTTCCAGCACTTGTAGGATGGTTTATCTGGAAGGAACATTTCAGATTTTTCTGTGCTGTAACAGACACCATAGACAGGGATGTATCTTCACTGCTGAAGGAGAGCAAAACTGAGAAAATGCTCTCTCCAACCCTCTTTTAAACTATGACAGAGCTCAGGCCCTCTCTCCACCTTGCTACCCTTGACCTCTCAAGAAGTTTTGCTCTCCAAGCTCTTTCTTTCACAGGACCACAACAGCCAGAAGGGACCTCCAGTGCTCTCTGGTCCAGTACCCCACCAGCTTGGATCAGGTCACCAGCATCTTCTGCAGTCCAGAGTGAACTGCCCTTCAAGGATGGAGACCCGACACTTCACTGGGATCACTGGCCCCTGTGGAATTATTGGATCACCCTCCCAGGCCCTTACTGAGCAACCACCTTTATCAAATAGATATTAGGGTAGCAGTCAGGGAGGGGACTGTGCCCACCCGGGATGTCCATTGGGCCCTGCTCACCCTGTGGCTTTCTCTGGACAGCTGGTGGTCCATGAAAGGTAGTACTTGAGGTTGCCCACAGCACAGACAGGCACTTAGAAAAACCAATTTGCACTAATAATAACTTTTTTGAGGTTATTCTTTATCAACCCCAGTATTTTCCATCTCTCCTGTAGGACACTCTGCACCTGAGAGGAACTGAGGACTGCACAGGGCTGAACACCCTTTAATGCCCCTTGGACCATGCTGGAAGGGGCAGGTGTCAGTGTACCTGCTACTCCTGGTGGCTGTTCCTGGTGGAAAACCAGCCTCCCCCCTAAACACACACTGGACGGAACTTCCTTTTCCTGGCAAGTGACTGCCCCCCCACCTATAAATACATTCTTCAGAAACACATAAATGCATAACTTAACACCTGCTTTGATACAGGCATGGGAAGAAAATGACCCCGGGGAGAGCTCACACCATTTCACCTGGTCCCCTCGGTGCAGCCCCGTGTCCCTTGCACAGGTGTGATGGCAGCCAGCAGCCACGGCTGGGACTGGAGCTGGGGCTGTAGTGTTTGGGGGTTTCTCATCACATTTAATGCTGCAACATTTGTTTTCGGGCAGAAAATACCAGCAGTGCCCTTGACTTGCAGCAGTGCTTTGGCAGTGTTATGACTGGCCGGGTGGCCCTGTCCTCTGCAGACACCACAGTGACTCCCCACTGATCCCGACACTCACGCGGGACTGGGGGCTTCAGGCCCCGCACGCCACAGGGTGCAGATTGGAGAAGCCTTTCCAGGAAAGCATCCTTGGCCTCACTGGGACAGGGTGATGCCGAGACTGGGAGGCAGCTGTGGATTCCGAAGGATTCAGCACTTGAAGAGCTGTTGCCTCAATTAAAACCAGGGCGGAGGGTCAGGGGCCAGCCCGGAGCAGCGCCGAGCAGAGCTCACCCAGGTCGCTCTCGTCGTTCTCCTCGGGCTCGCTGCTGAAGGTGGAGGGGCTGCTGCTGGGCAAGCTTTGGCCAGAGCCTGTCCTCAGGGATCCTTGTCCCTTTGGGTCCGGTGTGTCCCGGAGGCACGCACTGCCTGTGCTGGCAGGAGTTCGCTGGGAGTCTGGCTGAGAGTCGTTCCTCTGGCTGAAAAACTGCCCCAGCAGGGATTTCTGGAGGGTCGTTCGCAGGCTTTCACAAGTCCTCTGCTTTGTGCTCGGCTGAGTGTAATGCAAATCCAACTGCAGGACCACATCCGTCTGGAAGGGGAGAGCGGAGGACGCTAAGTGAATCGGAGACTCAGACTGGAAGCAGAGCTTTCCTGCTGTTGCTGCCAGACATGAGAGCCTTGGCTGGCTGTTGAGCAGGCTCACAGCCCCATGCTGTGGCGTGATGGAGCAACGCTACTGCCAGAGAAAACAAGCTGTTACACACTCACACAGCTCATGACGTCTGTGGGCCTCAGCCATGGATTCTGGATTTCAGGACTGCTCCTGAAATCAGGCCACCTCACTTGGGATCTCATCAGCCCCACCAGTGAGCCCCAGTGCTCACTGTCACTGTGAGCATCACGCCCAGGATGCTGGCACAGGGGAGCAGGAGAGGAGGCAAGGAACGGCACCATGTCTATCCCGGCCGTGGCTGGGACCACTGCCCAGGGGAGAGGAAAGCATGAAAGGGAGGGATATGAACCACTCCCAACCCTGGAAGTGTTCAAGGCCAGGTTGGAATGGGCTTGGAGGAACCTGCTCAAGTGGAAGGTGTCCCTGCCCATGGCAGGAGGGTGGAACAAGGTGAGCTTTAAGGTCCCTTCCAGCCGAAACCATTCTGGGATGCTATGAACTGAAACACACATCACACTGTAAAAGGCAACAGCTTTAAGCAGCAGCACTCCACAGGGATCCGTTCACAGCCTAGCACTATTTTAGAATTTTATAAAAGATGAAGAAATCAGAAAATAACCATGGCAGCCAAACCCCTAAAAGCAAACCCCCAGCATGGGGCTGTGCCTGAAATGCCTGGCTGTACAGAGCAGGGAGATGTATAATGGAACAAGATTTTGACAGGCAATGCAGGGTCCAGGTCTCCTATCTGCACTTAAAAGCAACGCAGAACAGCTGGGAAAGGTTCAGAAAAGAGCTCCAGGAACAATCAAGGACTGAAAGCACTGCCATATGCTGAGACACGTCACGTACTCAGCAAACAGAGCTTGCTGTGGGCAGCAACAACCCAGGCAGAGAGCAGCACTCAGTGCAAGATCCACTGGCTGTCCCTGCCGGGCAGGAGAAAAAATCAAAGTAGAAACAAGGTGCACACTGCTGGGAGAGACAAGCCAGGAGACCAGCAATTCTGCCTCTCTCATGGTCTTTAAATAGTTTGAGGGTGTTTTGAAATGTGTCAAAGAGGCACAGTTTGGATCAGGCTTGGAAGAGTTACTCTGACAACAGGAGCTCCTGGCCAGCCCATGAGCTCATCTCTCAGCAAGAATGCAGCCTAGTGAAGACATCCTTCATGTGAAATATTTGGGCAAGTCTGACCTCCCCTAGGCTGATGGAGCAAAGAACAGTCTCCCTAGCCAGGTAGCAAAGAAAAACAGAGCAAGCTATGATGGGTGATGCCTCTCCCCGCTCCCAGGGCAGCTGCTGTGGGTCAGGTTTGCTGGGAGGGCCAAGCAGGGGAGACAACACAAAAGCAAAGAGCATCCATGCTCAGGCTCTGCAGGCTGATCTGTAAATCAGAAAGGTTTTGCTGAGGTGGAAAAGGTGAGGTGAAAGAGGACAGTCCTCTCTTATGGAGGCAGGCTGGGAGAGCTGGGGGTGTTAAGCCTGGAGAAGAGAAGGCTCCAGGGAGACCTTAGAGCTCCTTCCAGTGCCTAAAGGGGCTCCAAGAGAGCTGGAGACGGACTTTGGACAAGGGCCTGGAGGGACAGGACAAGGGGGAATGGCTTCCCACTGCCAGAGTACGGGGTTAGATGGGATACTGGCATGAAATTCTTCCCTATGAGGGTGGTGAGGCCCTGGCACAGGTTTCTCAGAGAAGCTGTGGCTGCCCCATCCATGAAGTGTTCAAGGCCAGGTTGGACAGGGCTTGGAGCAACCTGGGATGGCGGAAAGTGTCCCTGCTCATGGCAGGGGGTGGAACAGGATGAGCTTTAAGGTCCCTCCTAACCCAAGCCAGTCTGTGACTCTCTGAAACAGTATGGCTTTTGTTCCTTGAAGATCAACAAGCTCCTCTAACATCGATCTGGATGTGACACTGACACAGAAACGTGGTCAGAGGGGCACATCCAGCTGCAGCCACGGGGATGGGGAGCACCAGTTATGAGAGGATGTAGGAGAACAGCAGAGAAGCACCTGGAAGCTCCCTACCTGAATTTTCTGAAGTCCGCAGAGCTGGAAGACACAGTCCTGCTCCTCCCACTTGTACACGGAGGCGAGCAGAGTCTCCACATGGTCCAGACGGCTCTCCCTCTGCATGGCCACGGCCTCCATCTCCTGGGTCAAGAAAACAAGAGGAAATGCAAGGAAATTTCAGCATCAGCATGGAGCATTGAGGCACAAGTGCCCATCAAGAGTGCTGCTTCTCTGCACACAGCAATGCCCAGGGCTTTGATTGACATGCTGCAGGATGGAAATGCTGTGTATCCTAATGGAAGTACTACAGAGAGCAAGCAACAGAGATTTTGCACATTCACCTTTTGACAATCAATGAGAAGACCAAGCTAAACATCCCCAGAGTACATCTGTTGGGAAAACTGGGGTATAATGGGATTTGCAGCAAAGAGCAGCTACAGCTGGTACCACAACCACTGGTAGCATCAGCATGGTGTCATGGAGGGAGCAAATTTTCCAAGGGCACAGCTGGAGGAAGCTCAGAGTTGAGCCGAGTGCCAAATTAGCCCCCCACCATCTACAGAACTGCCAATTCTTGCTGAGTTACTCCAACTTAGCCAAAACAGCCCTGTCTCTATGAGATCCTCTTCAGTACTGATCATATTTTGGAGTCACTAATAGCACAAGAATGGACAAGGGAATAAGGGTCTTTCAAAATCATAGATTCATGGAATATCCTCAGTTGCAAGGGATCCACAAGGATCGAGTCCAACTCCTGGCCCTGCACAGGACAACCCCAAGAATCCCACCATGTGCCTGAGAGCATTGTCCAAATGCTCCCTGAGCTCCAGAAGGGATGGGGTCATGACCACGTCTCTCTTGCTTTGGATTTGAGCCCTCCAGGATGAGCGACAGATCACAGTCCACCAGCCCCTTCCAAAAGGTGCTTCCCTCTGCCAGCTTGCTCTGGCAACTGTCCCAGTGCAATCCTTAACAGAAGTTAAGGATTGGGCATGGTGATGAAGGAGGCTGTTAGGATATTTGGGGAGGTAGAGATTGGAGAAGCCCTGGTAGCTCTTCCTGGCCTTTACAGACCTTCTCCAAACTGATGCCCGCAAGTGGCCAAAGCAATTTGTTTCTAGCCAGGAGAGTATCAGGAAATGCTGGACCCCAAATGCTAGCTGGGATCTGCAGGCATCAGGGTCACCCCTCTGTGCACGGCCTGGTGGAACAGGAGTAGTGCCATTGCTGATCCAGTAGGTTCACTGGAGGCTGCAGAAACACCATTTATCTCTGTGCAAGGGAAACTAAATCCCATCTCTGCACTTGTCAGCTCATTACTGCTATGTTTGGAAACGGCTTCAGGGGTTATTGGCTCTATCACTTTCTCAGGGATCACAGGGAGGTTGACCAACTTGCAGCTCCCCAGATCTTCGCTCCTGCCCTCCTGGCTTTCTTCCAGGCCTCAGGAGGACCACAAGCCAATGGAGTCTCATCACCAGCTCCCTCAGCACTTATGGGTGCATCCATTAGGTGCCACGGATTTGTGAACGTCCAGTTTCTTTAGTGCTCCCTGACCTGGTCCTCCTCCTCCTCTGGGTGTAATTCTCCCTTGATCCAGACCTTTTTCCTAGTCTCAGGCATCTGGGAGTCCTCATATACATATAGAAGCCCTTCTTGTTTCCCCCAGATCCAGCCCCAAATGGGCTTTGGCTTTCCAAACCTCAGGCCTACATGCTTGAATCACATCTTTACAGTCCTACATCACCTGCCCCTGCTTCCACCTCTTGTACACCTCCTTTTTACGTGTGAGCTCAGGTAGAAGCCCCCAGCACATCCATGCAGGTTTCCTGCAGCCTTTGCTTGTTTGCCTGTTCATCAGGATCCTTGAAAATCCCCCAGCTCTCCAGGGCTGTGTCCCACAGGAACACAGCTCTCCAGTCTAGTGACTTCAAGACGTTCACCTGGGAAAGGAGCGACCTGATGTGTTTGTTTTAGCAGGAGGGTTGGACTGGATGATCTCTAGAGGTCCCTTCCAACCCCAAACATTCCATTGCTCTGATCTCAAGGGATCAATTAAAACCCTGACACATGAGATTCAAAGCCCCTCAGCTGCAGCAATTCATTAACCACAAGAATCTGCACTCTGCTAAATTCCCAGCCTCCATAGCCTCCTGTTCCACAAACTAATTCCCTTCCACATTCTCCATTATCATTTCTGGCTGTGCAGGAGAAAATGGAGAGAAGCATTTTCTAAATTAATTTTTTTAGCCAATTCATACTTATTTATAAACCTTTCCCCATGGTGGAATACATTTTTTAATGAAGATGATGCCCAGGAATTGGCAAGACCAGAGTTTTAGCTGGCCCAGAAATACAGATATTCTATATAAATGGGGGGAAGGGTGACTGGAAAGGCCATTAGGTCAAACAGCTTCAGATCAAGTGACTGGAAAACAAGGAGATACAACATAAAGGTTTTTAAAAAGTAAGGATTCAAGCAGTATAGAGAAAAAAAATGGGAATGCCCTAGCTGTCAGCATTGTTCCTTTCTACATATGTGCTACAGCAGCCTCTCCCTCTGAAGACAGTGCTTGTCAGGTAAAAATGCAAGTCAGGCAAGACACAGGATGGCAGGGAATATGAGACAACTAAAGAAAATTGATCGATGCCAGAAAATTCCATCCTAATTATCCCTGCCAAACACACAGCAAGCCCAATTAAATCCCTTTGATAAGCAGAATGTGGCAAGTGGTGGGAAAACTATCATTTCCTCAACCAAGCAGCTTCCTGGGATCATTCCCCTTCAGCCTGGTTTTGTTGGTCCTGCACTTCAGCAACACCACCTCCCTCAGCATTCCCCAGGAGGGCTGGTACAGGGATCCTGGCAGAAGCCCTGTGCCCTCCTGCAGATACCTGTGCACTGTCCCAGGGGTGCGGGGGTGGCCTCTGTGGGAGTCTGAGGCGGGGCAGGAGCCAGGGCTGGTGCGGTCGGAGGATGGTGGGAGGACATGCTGCCGCCTCAGCAGACACCACTGGAGGTCAGTGTGAGCCAGCACCGCCGTGCAGTGGGACAAGGACAGGGATCCCACTGCTGAACTGGGGGGCCTTTTTTGTCTCCCCAACCCTCTTGAGACAGCTCCAGAGGCAGGAGCACACGGCTGAGTGCCCCTTTGCCCTGAGTTGCTGATGTGGGGTGGATGCATGCAAATATCTGCTCACACACACACACACGTTTTTCATGCATGATTAGGGAGCTCACAAGGGGAAACGATGCTCCAGCTTGGGAACAGGTAGGATCAGGCTCCAAACCTCCTGGATACACCACGCTGCATCAGTGACCCCAACACACTGAGGAGCAGTGTCCCTCCACGAGCAACAGGGGCTGAAAAACCCACCACAATCAAGCTACACTTCAGCAAAAGGACTAAAGAAAACGAGGGAGATGGTTAGCAGAAAGGAGCAGCAAGTTAAATCCTTAGTGGTGGCATGGAGACTATGGAGACCACCAGGAAAGACCATGCTGGGCACGTGGTCTGTTAGGAAAGGTGTGAGAAAGGGTGCAAGGAAGCTGGTACGGCTCAACAGGGAAGAAATATGGAATATGAGCAGAGCAGGCTAAGAATGCATGATTCAAAAAGCCAGATCTGCTTCCAAACATGGAAAACAGAATGGCTCTTCACCTCAATCAGATTAAATGCAATAATTTAATCAGACAGGACAGAAATCAATCTGAGGGGTAACTGGTTAAAGCCATCAAACCGGTGCAAAATCCTTTTTGTGATGCATGAGGAGCAAGGCAGGTGGCCTGCAGGGAACCCACTGAGGCGTGGAAGAAGCCTCAAGGAGGTGTGTGCAGAGGAGGGGATCCTTTTCCACCTGGGATCAGCCTTTCCCAGCCCTCAGGACCCCCTGGGCTCAGCCCAACCATGCTCCCACCTGTGTCCTGGGGAAAGCAGCCCAGGAAGGGGAGCTTAGAGGACTCACCGGGGGCTGGCAGAGCAGGAGGCGGGGGGCAGCGATGTGGGCCGGGGGGGGCTGCAGCTTGGCACACACGGACATCAGGTTGGAGAAGAGCCGCAGGAAGCGGAGCTCTGCCCGGGCCCCGCAGGGGAAGGTCAGTGTTCTGCTCAGCGGCTCTGGAAGGGAAATTCAAGAGGGATCAGCTCCTCAGAGGGTCCAGACGACATCTCCCTGGAGCCCGGTGTCCCTGAGGGGCACAGGGACCTCCAGCCCTCTCCTCCCCATGCCCTGCATGGCTCACCGTGGCTGTGTCCCCAGCGCTCGGCACCTGCACCGGGGGGACAGATGGGGTCTGTCAGGGACCGGGCTTCCTTCAGGGTGTGTTTGATCTCCATCACCTGCTTCCCAGTGACCAGGGCATCCCGGCCAATGTCTGTGGGAAAGAGTTGGAGGCACATGGGTCACTCCAGGTTCCTTATTGATCTCCCTGCCTTTTAGATCCTACATGAACGTCTCCATAATGCTGCCAAGCTACAGAGAGCTTACATGGGGCATAGCCTGAGATTTGGATTTTAAGGAGAAACGGTTGGCTGGCTGCCTGGGATGGGGTGGTACAGAGCCACTTGGTCTCTGGTCTCTCTTCTCACCCCTGCTACTGAAGTGAGTGGTTTCTCACTTGTCCCTCACCTTCCAACACATCCTCTAACATGTGTGTAACCTTCTTCTCTTTCAGAATGTGTTTCTTCAGGTATTTCATGAAGATCCCAGAGCTGAACTCCCCATCCTGCAGTTCATAGGCTTCTGCATCTTCACTCCTGCAAGAATAAGGACATTTCTTCAGAGTCCTCATATTTCTGCACCAGGCACAAGTCCTGAGGGTGAGTCTGGGCTTGCCAACTCCATCCAGACTCTTTTGGCTGAGTTTGAGTTTGCTTCTCAAGGAATAACACAAAGTGCTTGGGTTTGGCCCAGGAGATGGTGGGAAGGGCACAGGATGGGAAAAAGCAATGGAAGGGGATAGGATAGAAAAGCACAGTCTCCAGCCTAGGCAGGTGACAGAAGGTGGAAAGCCAGAAAAGCTGGCACTGGAGCAGTAAACAACACCCATCATCTCAGGAGGCTTCAGGTGGGCTGTTCATGGCACATGAACCTGGGGAATCAGGCTCAGGCCTGAAGGACAGGGGACAGTAGCTGAGGTCACCTTTATGCACAAGCACAGGCTGCCATGAGGGATGGCAGGAGAAATGCCTGAACAGCAAATGGAGCAGTTGGAAGGTGAGAGCCAGAGGAAACATAGCAAAGCCCTCTCCAGCCTCCAAAGCCATTGTGCATGAAAGGATGAGAGGGGGTGTGGCTGTGCCAGCATCTGGTCCCGTGTGCCAGCGTGGGGACAGCAAAGTGCACTTACGTGGCATAGCCATAGACAGTATTTCCCCAGGGCTCCAGCGGCTGCACCTGGGAGAGGGCACGTCCCGGGTTGTACCTGGAAGAGAAAGAAAAGGCATGAGTCAGTGCTGAGGACATCTGTCAGCTGGAGGGGACAAAGCCCACACGCTCCCCCACATCCATCTCCTAGGGATGGCAACAGCATCAACCCTCACCTCAGATCCAACCACAGAGACGAAAGCTGGGAGTCCCACCAAGAACCCAAACCACAGGGAAATGAGTAGACAGGTCCAGCTGTGACCTATCTGCACTGGTGAGCTGCTCCCTGCCCCACACTGAGCCTGGAGCTGTGGGGACAACCTTCCCTACTCTCCCCCGAGGCTGGATTTTAACAACTCCAGGGAGGAACAAAGTGCAGAGAACACACGGGGTCACTGTGGCCCAGTGGACAACTGTCCCTGCGGAAGTCAGAGGTGTGCACAACACGTGGTTACGGCTCAGCTGCCTGTGCTGGGGTCTGGGGCACCCCACAGGGCCCCTCCAGACCACACACACACTTCTGCCTCAGGGAACCAAAGCACATTATGGCTCATAAACTCCCAGACCTCATCAAGAGATGGGATCAGGAGACACACACCCGGGTCTTGAAGCCCAAAACTGGTCCCGACTCCCTGGTCTAGATGCAGCTGAATGAGAACAGCTCCTGTTATTTCCAAAATCGGGTAGAACCACGGTGACAGTCCTGGTTTTCACCAAAAAAGATCTCATGGTTTCACTGAATGGTCAAGCCTTGCCCATCTGACTGCATGGGGACAGGCTGCCTCCAGTTCACACCAGTGACGTGGAGCTGTTCCCAGTCACATAGCGACAAGAGCAAGGCACAGAGGCAACATTACTCCACATTATTCAATTCCAGCACAGCTTCCTGGGGCTGAAGCTGGCACACTAAGGAGAGCAGAAGGGACGGTTGTATCACCAGCAGCCAGTGTCACCTACTATTGGTGGCACAGTCTGGAGATATTTCATGGTAGGATTCAATTGGCTTCTGTAACTTGTCTTAAAAGAAGATCAGAAGAGAAAATGTGGGAAAGGAGATACGCTTCTAGATATGAATACTGAGATTTATCTGCTCCTCAGCTGCTCCTAAATTAATGCAGAAATCTGGCACTCCAGGTCCAGAGAATTCCTGGAAGAGGCAATCGCATCCGCCCAAAATCAGCACATAAATGTATGAGGCTACACACAGGCTCCATGTTCCTGGTTCCTCCTCTGCTAAAGCTGAACATCTGCTCCCACTTGGCAAAGGAGGCTGTGTTTCTCACCACCCTGGCATTTCTGATGCCAACATATGGGGTGAGGAGATGCTCTGGGTGAGCTCCTTCTCAGCACAGACACAGCTCCTCCTGGTTTGTGCACAAGCTGTTCACAGACCTGCAGCATCAGTCGGACCAAAAGGGCCTTGGGAAAGGAGACCCTGGGAGCCTCATTTTACACAGTGTTGTAAACACACACAGCAATGAAATCCAGACGCTTTCCCAAGCTAAAAGGGTGACTTCTCAAGATAAAGAAGCTCAGGAGAGAGTTTCTACAGCAATCCCCCACAAAATCAGGGATAACACCCACTGCATGAAGTGCTGTGCTTGTTGTGGAAAAGGGGAGGTGTGAGCTCTGGGGGAGGAGAGAGAAAAACAGCTACACAACCTTGCCTAAACATCCCAGCAGATCTCACACTGCACCTTCTTCCCAGAGCCCATTGAGACTCCACTGAGCACAGGAACACCAAGGAAGGAGACAGCAGCTCAAAGGCAGACAGCAGCTCAAAAGCTCTTTTATAGACTGTTAACATTTGTGTTGGTGATCCCTGTGCAGCCTCCATGTCACCTCCCCATCAGGCACTGCCCTTGGACAGCAGCCCAGAGGTGCAGCTCCAGCGGTGTATCCATGAGAGCCAGGTGTTCCTGCTTGGCTGCATGCCATCCTCTGCCTGTTATCCTGCTGGGGAGAGCAGGAAGGTGCTGCCAGGTGTGCCAGGGAAGTAACACACTCTGCTTTCAGCAGAGAGCAAGAAGGGAGAAAGGGGATGCTTCGCTCTGGGGAGCTCAGGGCAGGATCAAGGCACATTAAGATCTGGTGACACTGGCAATTCAGAGCTGCAGGATAAGTCTCTGCACAGCCAGCTTGAAGCTATTCAAAGTGAGCATCCCCACCTCTGCAGCTACAAGGCATCAAAGATTTATCCTCTCTCCAAGGGCTGGCAGCTCTTTCAGGGTATTAAAATCCCTGTCGTCTTTCTGGTTCTTAGCACAGGAACCACAGCAGGAAGAGAGAGACTTTCCTGCATTTGCTCTCCAGGTCTTTTCTGACCTGTAAATCTGCCTCAGGAGACTGAAATAAATGAACTAATGACAGCTTCTACTGCAACAGTCCACCTACCTCTGCTGAAATTGGACAAGTAGTAATTTTCTGCAGCAGGATAGAGGTCTGCAGGCCAAGAGAGGATGATGGGCTTTCCACAGACAGTGGGAAAACGCTGATCTCTGACCTCAGCAGCAGCTGCTTCACAACACAACCACTTCAGAAGGATTTAAGGCCAGTAAAAAGCAAGTAGCAGGGCTTAAAATATTTTCCCCATCATGCTGCACTCTTCTCACTGAGATGTTAACAAGAATGCAGCCAGGAGAAGAGAGGTGAGTTGAACACTCCCAGCCTGAGCACTTGGGAAACATGGACCAGGAAAGCACACGATCAGCAAGACAAGGTTAGGTGGGTCAGGTTTGAAATATAAAAGACAAACCCTGTGCTGAGTTTCAGCCAACAATTTATGCCAGGCACAGCCATCGCTCCATGGGCTTGAGGCAACCTGCCTGTATTTGTCAGGCTTCTTCACCTCAAAAAATCCAAGGATTTTTCAAGCCCCTTCTCTCCAGCAGATCTCAGACAACATTTGATGCTCTCTGCACTAATATGTGAACGACCCATCTTTCCAGAACATCCTGCAGGACCTAAAAGTGCTGCTGATTTTATGACACACAATCCACAACCTTTGATGGAGCAGCACCACAGGGGACGTGGCCCCAGCAATCCACGGGAACACCCCACAGGGAGAGCTGAAGCCCAGAGCTGAGGCTGGACACCCCTCCCTGGCCCCTCAGAATGCCCATCCGAGGTGAGGAAGGGGGAAGAGCACCCTACCACTTCCTGCAGGTGTCCAGCAAGATGATGTTCAGGGCTGTCTGCTGCTGCTGCATCTTCTGGAGGATCCTCTGCACGCTGATGCAATTCTCAGGGGCGTAGGGCTGGGGGGCATCAACAGGGACCATGTAGTTCCTCCCCAGATGTTCGTACCCATGCCCGGCATAGTAGAATATAGCTGGGAACAGGGAGAGGAGAGAAGGAATCAGGATGCCAACCTGCAGGTCTGTAACCAGCTCCCCATGGCCACGTTCCACCTCCTGTGCTGAAGGGATACTGGAGCAGGGCAGACCTAGACCAGCAGCACCTATGGAACTGCAGCTACACTGACCTCACAGTTTTGACTTTTTTCCAATTTATCCCTTTTGGCAGAGTCGGAAGCAGCCCTGAGAGGCTCCCCTGTGCTTGTGGATTTCCACACTGTTTGTCACCTGAAGTCACTGGGTTTACATATTTCCAAGCCCTCTGTGCTACAACACCCAGGCTCAGCACCTGCCAGGCTGAATTCCACCTTCGTACAAAGTTTGGTTTAATCCTCAGGTCTTTAAAGGAAAATGACAACAGAAAAGGATTTTACCACAGTGGAAAATACATTAACAGTCTTTTAAATGAGAAGCTTCTCATTTAAAAGAAGCTTCCTAGTTTTGGAGAAGAGATTAACAACTGATTAGGTGATGGAAAACACTCTCTAGATTTCAAAGGTCTGCCTGTATTTATACACCTATAAACTGGTGAAAAATTAAACAGAGACAGAGAGACAGAAAGGATAGTTCTCCAGACATCCAGAACATGTGGACCACATGCTTCAACAACCTCAGACCAGACAGGAAGACGTGTAAGGAAGGAAGAGTCAGACCCATCCAGGTGCTGGTGGGAAGTCCAACACTCAACAAGAATTTTGGATTTTACTCTTATGCACATGGAACTTAGTAATGTTTTCTGCCTTCACAAGAGATGGCAATACAGGGACTTTCAGGTGGAAAGCACTGGGGAGCTCAGCATGGCTGGTGCTCCCCTTCGACCCGTGTTCCGTGCAGGGCTTTCCTCCTGCACAGGGATCCCTGTGTGGGCTGAAGGTTCCCTAAAGGAAATTGCACAGTGGCTGGTCACCCCTCCCCAGCGCTGATGACACTGCTTGGGGGATGCTGGTTGATGAAAGCCAACTTGGGGAACTGAAATGGGTTAAAAATAGCTCTGTGAGGTGACACAGTTGTGCTACCACAACAGAGGGATGGTGAAAAGTGAGAGATCAGAAATGGGAACAAGCAGCTAAAGGCAACAGCAGGAGAAATTCTTCAGTCGGACTCACTGCCAAAGCCCACACTTGAGTGAGTAACCTCTCCTCTGTATTCCCTCCACTGTTCCTGCCCCTGGACTTGGCAGGACACTCGCCTTGATCTCTGATTCTGCAAGGGATGTGGTGACAGGGGCAGGAGCTGAAAGACTGAAAGCCTGACCTCATCGTGTGGAAGATGGAAAACATGATCTCATAGTCAAAGAGGCCTCGAGTTACCTTTGGTTTCTATTCTCAGGGGACAATGGAAAGTTTCTCAAATGGCTGTTTCCACAGATGCCCACAAGATTTGGGTTCCTCTTCTTGTGGATTGCCAGCCAGATACGGCGGGCTCTGATCTGCAGAAGCTCTGAGCTTTTGTAACTTGCAAATCAAAGCCACAAAACCCTCCCCTGAGACTAGAAAAGAGTACAAAACTGGAAGCCTTCTGGAAAAATTAGATGCAGGTATTACAGGCTGGGCCCCTCAAGTCATCAAGCACTGATGCCTTTCATGCCTCTGCCCCTGTTCATGCAAGGAAGTGATGATATCTGTCACCAGGCAGCATCACTGATGCTTGGAAAAAAATTAAATGCTACAGAAAAGCCCACAAAGAATGATTCAATCCTTAAATTTTCTAACTTTTGAGGTCTTGTGCACCTGAATGCACCACCAGGTGCTCCCCACACCATATAAATCCCAAAGACTGGTGTTCAAATCCAAAAAGACATGAGTTTCACAACAGCTGAGCAACTTTTCCAGCCTCTTCTGGACATAATTTCTCTCCTGAACAGGACAGTCAACAATTTGCTCAGAGAAGGAAAGGGCTTTTTTATTCTGAGCTCTTCCCACGTCGTGTGAGTCAGAACTGCTGATCACAGACAAACTTCCGAGTACCAAATTAAAAAGGGGAAGCTCCAGGCACTGCTCATAACGCAGGAAATGTCAGCATGAGGCTTAATTAAGGCATGACTCCATATTCCAAGTATTTCACTCACAACTTTCTGCTCTTGTTGCATTTCCAATGCAATTTTTTTGACTCGGGACTTTTTAGGACACTCAAAATAACATCCGGGGGGATTCCTCGTTCGCCTGAGGAGGGAATGATTTAGATCACTCAGAGGATGCTTGGGGTCTTCAAAAATCCTCTGCAGCATTTCTAAGAGATTTGGAGGAAAAGCAGCCCAATGACCCACCACCTCCATACCGTGAATCGGAGAAGCCTTTGGTACATAGAATCATTAAGCTTGGAAAAGACCTGCAAGATCATCAAGTCCAACCTTGGACTGAATCCCACCATGTCCACTAAACCATATCATGCCACATCCACTCACTTTCCGAACACTTCAGGCCCAAGGCCTGGGAGGAGGGGGGGAAGGTGCTGTTCTGGTCTGGGATGGTCTGGAGATGTGGAAGTAGATGAAGGTCTCACAACAGCCTACAGATCCTGGAGGGGCAGTTACAGAGACCATAAAGCCTTACTCCCCTCGTCAGCATGGATTAAACAACATGGGGCAGCGAGCACCAACCCATGGAGGCTCATGTTCAGCAGTCAGCCCTCTCCTCCCTCTGTATGTCTACACCAAGCTCTCCTGATTTCAGCTGTGGTGATTGCTACACAGGAGGTGTAACCTCCAGGTAAAGCCTGAGATACAAGGGGATTTCAAAGAGCAACCACAAAAGGAAGCTGCAAGTGAAGTCACAGGAATACACTGTCACCAGGTGATGCCATGGCCGTGTGCAGCCCTTCCCACCAGCTCAGCCTCCCTGGTGAGTCAGTGCTTCCCGGAACAAGGTGGCTGCACAGCACGTGGCCATGTCCCTATTATCCATTGCACAACCTCCAAACCTCCTGCTGAGTGCCAGGCTGGTATTGGCTGCGCTGACTTTCACTGTCTGGGTGCCACACAGCTGGGAGATAAGCCTCACATGGAGGTTTGGAAGCAAAAACAGTCCATATGGCAAGGTATTTTCATGGTATCTGTCGGGCTGGGAGAACTCAGGGACCCCAAAGATGCTGCTTTACCCACCAAATCTGAACACCTGCTTTAAGACCCACAAGATCTGCTGGTTGGGTTTGTGTTTGAGGATCACTTCCCACTGAGAACAGTGAACAATAAGCTCAAAGCCCAACCTCAAAGCCATCTGCAGCTGGCAATGCTCTTCTGCAAAAGGGCTGTCAGGGGCCCAAATTAGACCTTCAGGAAAGAGAAACAAGGAAATCACAGCCAGATGCAGCAGTCAGGGCTCAAAAGGAGCTCCCCTGCCTCACACAGGATAAGTCTCCTCAATTCTGTTATCCACAGAAAAATGAAAACCCCTTTTCCCATTCACTATCAGAAGCACTGGCTCCCCAAAACCTCAGTGTGAGCCCATGCTGTTGGGGCTGGAGGCTACCACGTGATGGAGAAACACCACCTTTGCTGGATGTAACCTGCCCAAAACTGAACAACACTTATCCAGGGGCTTCTGCCAAGCCTGGCACCACTGCAGACTGTGCTGCAGGTCTCCCTTGAGAGAGTAAAGTACAATTTCTTCTTTTTCAATTCAACGGCTGTTCAGAAAATTGCCAAATCCCTGCTCAGCACGGGCAAGTGGCTGGGCTGGCTTGGCCTTACCATAGACTCCCTTTTCCAGGAGCTGCAGGAACTGACTGACCGCTGCTGCCATCTCAGCCTTGTTCAGATCCAGGAGGGAGACAACCTGGAAGCCCAGCTGTTCCAGAAGACGACTCAGCTCAAACACATCCTTGACAGGAGCCATGAGGTTGGGATGATGCTGGTAGCGGTTGTTGCCCACTAAAAGTGCTATTTTGCCTGTAGCTGAAACAAACACCAAGTGACAAAGCTGTAAACGCTCAGCAGGAGGCAAGGTCTCACCTTCTCTGTTGGAGTAAGGATTCAGGAAATCTAAGAAAAAATTTAGGCAGGAAGGATAGACCCTAGGCTGCTGCAAGCCTTGAGCACCCTCCAGAAAGCCCTCGGCTTTCTGAGCACTTCAACCAAATACACAATCATTTTGACAGAAAGGGTTGAAAAGTTTACACTTGACAGCCAAAATCCCAGGAGTGCAGGAGGTTCTGCTCTACCTGCCCTATTGCAACCATGGGCCTGGCATGCCAGCAGTGCGTGGGAGGGGGATGCACTGAGCCAGGCTAAGGAGTCCTTTCCCTCACAGGGCTGAAATAGAGAAACCCTGGGGTCCTGCTTTGGTTTTATCCCCACCTCCCCACTGTAAAAAAAAAAGAATTTATGTCGCTCAGCAGTGGTGGGAGCAAGGAGCTTTGCCCTGCTCTGAGGAGGTATTTCAAGGAAGGGAAAAGGTGTCATGTGAACAACACCTTTAAACTCATTTGGCAGCCCCAGAGCTCAAGACTCAGTTACTCATTAGGAATAATATTACTCCACTTGCTGAGAAAGATCAGGGCTTGGCAGGGGATGGGACTCATCTTGTGCCATGCAGCTCTGATCCCAAAAGCAGACAGCCTGTTGCAATGTGGGCATAAAGGCTTGAAGTGGTCTCTGCAGGAAAAGAACTCCCATTCCCTGTCTTCCCATCCACCCTGGAGCCTGGCTTTTAATTAAGATAATAAGTGCTCAGGAAGAAAAGACGACAGTACTCACCAAAAAACTTTTCAGAGCCACACGTACCTGGGAAAGAAAGAGGGAAATGATCAGCCTGTGCCCAGCATCCAGTGCCAGGTCTGAATCCTGCTGCAACATTCCCAGCAATGCACAGCTGGATCAAACACAAGGAGGATCTGCATAAGCAACGCTCCTGGGGCAACTTCTTCACAGCCTGACTGCTAACCTTAAACACACTGGTCTTCATGAAATCCTGCCTGATTTATGACATCCTGAGCAGCTGGGATGCAAAGACTGGAAAAGGGGCAGGCCAGGGAAGGAGGGTCAGCACGGAGGAGCTCATACCTGGGCTTCCCAATGCGACTCACCTGCTCCCTCACTGCAGCAAAAGCAAAGGAAACACAACGACTCAAGGTCAATAAAAGCTCCAAAACAGGGTTTCTCCCCATAAATGTCTGGTGCAGAGGGAGCCACCATTTGCTTTTGACTGTGATAATATTACCCAAGTTGTTCATCTCCTTTCTCTGACTTTCCCTGCTTTTTAGCAGTTCTGGCTCAGAAAAGCCCCCCCCAAATGTGACTCACTTTGGTGAGCCCCACAAGCTTCCCTGCCCAAGCACTTCCAGCTTCTTAAAATCAAACAGCTCCAGCTTTTCCTATTTAAATTAGAAATTAATTTCAAAATTCATCCTAGGAGAAAATTCTAAAACCCTACAGGCTCTAAAAGAAGAAATTAAAGATAAATTGCATATATCTCATGAGTCTGGAAGACCTCTGGCCCCTGAACCAGTGTTGCTGAGGCACCAGGGGTGCCTGGAAAGTTCAGAACAAAACCATTCATCCTTTACTGCCTCTGACAGAGGTGCCCATTGCACATTAAGCTCCGTAGCTGTAATGCTTTGAACTCAACCCAATCTTTTCTTGCTGCCTGTCCCCCCTGGATGCAGTTTTGTCAGCTGTGAGGAGGCAGGCAGAGTGCTCTCTGGATATACAGGATCAATTTGCACTTCGGAGAAATTTTAAAGCCATCTTAAAAGGCAGGATGAGAAGCTTATGGCATAGAAAAATCTCTAGATGGAGTAAAGAGCCAGCCAAGCCAACTTGTGGTATTCCTGCTTCACACAGGGAAGACAGGGGGCCAAGGGAGAGGTGGAGCATGCCTGAGGCTCTGGGGACACATCTTATCCCTGGGATCTGTCACTCGTGCAGCATCAGCCCTGAGCTGCCAGCCTGAGGGGCCTGAACCTTCCCAAAATAAACCCCATCCTCTCCGGCTCTCTGTGTCTGAATGCATCACTTCATCCCAGTGAGGCTGGAAATGAGTTTGGGCACAAGAGCCCACTGCGATTTGGCTGTGGAACTGTGAAATCAGCACCTTGGCAAGGCAGGAAAACCACAGGGAGCAGCTGAGAGCACCGAGCCTGCCCTAACACAGCAGGTTTCTGGCAGACTGCAGAACCCAGCATCCCACCCCACCACACAGCGCATCACCGGGTCCACGGGTTTCTCTTTTCCAGCCACCACTTCCCTCGCTCCCTCTGAGCCCTGATACCAAGGAATCCTATTTATCACAGCCCTCGTTCACCAGCTTGGTGCTTCCAGACGAGAGCACTAAATTCCATTGTACCCTCTAATTACTTCTCACTCCAGGTGATGTGCAGCAAAGCAAGGGGGGTTGGCTCTGCTCACCTACGTGAACGTCCACAGCGTTGGTCCAGTGCTCTCCGTGACTGTTGGAGGCACAGCAGAGGTACGTGCCTGAGTCACTGACCTTGGCATGGGTGATCTAGACAAATCAAAAGTTAAATCACATTATTTATGGTGAAAGTCTGCAGCTCCCTGCCAGGATCTGCTGAAGGTACCCGTGTTCCTGGAATAAAGAGTACTTTTCCTGCTATTCACTGAGACTTTGCCTCACAAAGAATCAGGACAGGGACAAGAACCAGAGCAGTACTGGCTGGCAAGGACTCTGGTTCTCCAGCCCAGGATCCTGCTCAGAGAGGGACTAAAGCCACCACTGAGTCAGGTTGGCCATAGCTCTGTCTATTCCAGCCCTGAACATCTCCAAGGACGGAGACCTCGCTGTCTTTCTGGCTCCAGCGCAGCACCATTCACCTTCAAATGAACAACCTCTTCCTAGTGCCCAGCCTGAACTTCCCTGTCAGAAGTGCACAGACGACTTTCCCATAACCCTGCAACCAGGTTCTCCCATCACCCACCTCAGCAGCCAAAGCTTCTGAACTATCCCCAGACAACCTTACCCAGAGTTTTTTTCTCTTGTGCTGTTCCAGCAGGTTCCCATTCCGGTACCACTGGTAGCAGGGGGCTGGGGCCCCCATGGCAGCACACTGCAGCTGCAGTGGCTTCCCCACCTCCACTCGCTGCTCTGTGGGGTTGAGGATGATGACGGGCTCTCCTCGCCACAGCCGAGGGGGCAAACCTGCAAGGCAGTGACATGGAATTGGTTCTCCCTCCATGAAGACAGCAAACAATGGCCATTTTTCACCATCACCACTGCACCTTTCTGCTTTGGGAGCAAGGAATCCTTGGGAGCAACATCTGCAATAGCCAACGCCAGGCCACAGCCCTGGCTTCCCAAACCTGACCCTTGCCCTTTCCTGCCAAGGGTGCAGTCAACATGCTGAGGTCAACCACACCCTGAGTTATTTTTGGTCAGCTTTGAAGTAGCCAGATGGACTCTTCCAGTCCCAGCACTGCAAATAGCCCTAGAAAACCCACAGCGAGTGATCAGCAGGAGGTGTAGGTACATACCAGGTTGGACGGGGCTTGAACCAACCTGGTCTAGTGGAAGGTGTCCCTGCCCATGGCAGGGGTGTTGGAATGAGATGAGCTTTAAGGTCCCTTCCAACCCAAACCATTCTGTGATTCCATGATACATCAAGAAGGTAGAAGACATGCTCGTACCTCTGGCGACACACTGATGGACCTCCACCTTCACCCAGTCAGAGAAGACAACATTTCTGTAGAGGTCATTGACTCTGCAGGTGTACAGCTGGGTCTGCTCAGCAATAATGGGCAAGTCTGGGTTGGTTGCTCCAGGAATCTGGCAGGAGTCAGACTAAAGGGAAAATACAGGCAGTGGGCAGTGATTCCCTCATTGCTGGCAGCAGAAGGCATTAGGAAGCCCCTTGTAAGAGCAGCAAAAGTGGAAATTCCTGATTTCCTCCCTTCCTTCAGCTCCCCCATTGTGTGCCGGGACCCAACCTGGTGCCATACCCAGGGACACACACTCCCACCCTCACCTGGTGCTGACAAAACCACTGGTACTCCAGCAAGGTGTGTCCCTCGGCTCGGCACCGCAGTGTGAAGGAGTATCCCACTGGGACAGAGACGGAGACTGGCTGCTCAGTGATGGTAATGGCTGTGGAGAAACAGGGTATGGAGGTGGAAACAATGCAGTAAGCACAGCTCAGGGCTCGCTGGGCTACAAGAGTGGTATCCATCCTAGCAGGAAGGGAAGTTTGAAGGAACAGGGATGCTCCTGTGCAGAGGGAATGGAGGAAAGGACGCATGGATGGGTGTCACGAGGATGCCACGAGGCTCTTCTGGGTGCTCTCCCAAGTGCCATAGGGGTCGCACGGTCACTCTTCCCACCGCCCCGTGGCCGCTCACCTTTCTGCATCGCTTCTCCGGCGGCTCCTCCCCGGCCTGGGCGGCCGCCGGCCGGACCGGCAACGGCTCCTCTCCCCGGGACGCGGCGGCGGCACCTGCGGCGAGGGGACGGCGGCGCTGGGGGCGGCTCGGGCCGGGCCGAGCGGCCGCTCAGCCGGCGCGGCGGCCCATATGAGGGAATGGAGGAAAGGACGCAAG